TTTTGAAAACATTTTTTTAGCTTTCAAAAAATTTATAGTTTTATGGCAAAGTTCGCCGTTGATGTAGATGCAGACAAAAGATCATCATAGAGTGATAACTGCGACTTSAACAAATTGCTTTTCTCACGCGGCGCAGAGCACAACAGCGTCGTGATCTGTGAATGTATCTTGAAAAAGAAAAATTGCTTCGACAGTATTGTAGTGCACTCCCGCTGACATCACTTTTCAATACAAWGTATTTTAAGCGAATCTATCAGTATTATGTTGAGGGAAAGGGAATCCTCAAGTAGATTGCATCTTTTTAGAGAGTTAACTATGACATGTAAATTGAAGCTAAAGTCATTGGGARCTACGAGTCCTAGAGATTGTTGAGCTGTACACTGCGCTACTAAGTACTAAAGACCTTTTCTCTCCCCCTGCCCCAAATTTCCGCTACGCAGGCTAAAGAAACTCTTGCAGCTCAGTCTCCTGAAAAGAGACAGAATGAAGGACTTGACCGCGATCCAGGACTTYCTTGCCGTTTCGAAACTCGGCTGTAATGCCAAGGATCCTTGATGCCGAAACAGACAATTTTTTCTTTGCAAAGTTCACATCTGGAGATGAGTGACGTTCCAGAATGTTCGACTAGGACGTACATAGAAAGACAAATCTGCTAGCTCAGGTAGGTAGATAAGTTATTTAGATAAGATAAAAAGGCAATCATTAAAATAGAATAAAAGCTACCACAAAATAACTAACTTGGAGAACCGGGTATCGATATCCGGAACCTCCCATGCTAAGCGAGCTCTCTACCAATAGTCCCTTTCGCAGTTCACTGCGCCATCYAAAAAGGTAGCCGTGCCTTTGTATTGAAGCGAGACGAACGGTGAGCTTGCAATGATAGAGACCTTTTTTAACACCTTGGACTTACTCACGTCTCTATCATTGCAAGCTACAAAGTACAAAGTACGAAGACCACTACTAAGATTAACAAAGGTTAATCGAGCCGAGTAGTAACGTGTTCCAGTAAACATTTCGYATAAGTAATGTATTGCCATCGCCACAAGTGTCTCCGGAAGAACACCTAGCCTGAAATTGGTTTTAGCAGTACGTGCTATAAATAGATCTCAGTTTGAAGAGATTTCCTTAGAAATTTAACACATGAATGATTGAGCATGAAGTGCTTGGCAGAATCGAGCATCCTGTTAATTATAAGCTCAGTTAGCTCCATTAGTTAAMTGATGTCAAGCAATCAGCATAATGAAAATTCTTGTGGTACATGTTACGTCATAGCCGGCATGTTGGTTGACGACAGCAAAACATTCCTCATTTAGCTTCTATTATTAKATCAATCAACATGGCGGCTTTTTCATTTTTATTTATATCTCAACGGATTTTGAGTCATGTGGTTGCACCCCAAGAATACAAATTTGTTCTCAGTTTATGATACAATGGAGCCGAGCTACACATGGAGAACAAAGATGCCATAACATCAGGAGATGTACACGTGATCAGTTAATAGCTCCAATAAAGGGTTTGCACCATCACGTGACAGCAGCCATGGAAGGAGCCACAACAATAGCCTTTTTCCCCTGGTAAACTGAATTATTTCTCATGTAAATCAGATTAGACTAGATTCAAATGTTCCTGCCTCCTGTCATGGATGCCATCACATGGTAGTGCCAAACCTCTAAATTGAGTGACATCATTTGATATTATAAATTATTGAATATAAATGGTCGCCATCAAATACGAAGAAAAAGGTTTATACAATTTCTCACGGTTCTAAATCACAAAGTTGACTCTAGACTGTGTTCTACTGGTTGCCTCTGTGACTGTACAGCGGGCTCACTAGGTTCTTCTTCACAGCATTGATCTTCAGGGTTAGACTGTACTGCAATAGGGTATGAAAGATCTTCATCGGATATGCGAGGGATAACATCAGCAATATGAGGGCTTTCCCCTCTCATATTACTATCAGCATGAATTGATACTGATACATGATCCTCGGGGACTGAAGCTTCACCATCGTGATCTGGAGCACCAACCTCAGGAACTGGAACCCCAACGTCGGGATCTGAAGCCACACTGCCGGGTTCTCTTGCCTCATCTTCGGGATCTGGAGTCCTATCGTCAGGATCGGGAGCCCCAATGTCAGGGACTGGAGCCTCACCGCCAATATCTGGAGCCTCACCGCCAAGATCTGGAGCCTCACCGCCAAGATCTGGAGCCTCACTGCCAATATCTGAAGCCTCACTGTCAAGATCTGGAGCCTCGTCGTCAAGATTTGGAGCCTCATCGTCGGCATTTGGAGCCTCAACTTCGTTATCCGAAGCATCAACGTCGTTATCTGAAACATAAACGTCGTTATCTGAAGCATCAACGTCGTTATCTGAAGCATCAACGTCGTTATCTGAAGCATCAACGTCGTTATCTGAAGCATCATCGTCGTTATCTGAAGCATCATCGTCGTTATCTGAAGCATCATCGTCGGGATCAGGAGCCTCAATGCCAGGATCTCGATTTTCTACAGCACGGTAACTGGGTCGATCAATGATGAGCGGTCTGTTATGTTCGTCACGTCTGTTTCTTCGACGGCAATAAAATGCAATGCCAACGACTATTAAYACAAACCCCACGAATCCGCCAAGAACCTCCCCGACAATATCGTAGGCTGTTGAGTAAAAAAATTCAAAAATTATATTATATGTGGACTTATTCCCTCACCCAAATCCTTCTCAGCTTTCTCGCGAGAAACCGAAGGCTCTGGTATACTGACACAAATCGACCATTAATTAATTTGATTGATTGAATTTTTTTTTTCTTTTTTTTTTCTTTTTGAATAATCATGTTTCACGTAGCATTCTCAACGGTTGAAATTTGAATAATTTTACCGTACACATCAGAGGGCCTCGATTACTTGCTTATTTTTCAGAAAGTTAGTCACAGACAAATAAACTKTTCCATAAAAAATTGATGTGTACATAAGCTTGATTGTTTGATTGCTGACCTTGAAGACTACCATAGTATGTTTCAGATAAGGAACTCCGTTTCTCCGGATCTGGTCAGATTACGCCAAAAAATAGATTTAAAAAATAATCACATGACGTCACTGTGCCTTCAGGGCGTGTCCGATGGTCACGAAATACACATGATTTAAAACCTCCATCTATCCCTACACTTAGTATAAACTCATATTTAGCCAAAGTATATCTGGTGCCGCGCAGTTTGCAATACAAGTAGAGGAGTGGCGCTTCAAAATTATTGTATCGAGCCACCTTAAATAAAGTCTTGTCAGCTTTTGTCTTGCCAAGGAGTAGCTTCACATTTTCCCTAGTTTCTGATGAGTATCTTCCTAGTACATCTATAGTAATATTATATTGCTTGATGGAATTATACAGCTTCTCATTAATCTCATATAGGTAACTGTCCAATTATTTTCTTAATCATATCCTTTTTGTAATTACTACGAAGTCCTGCAATCTGATTGGTTCAAAGGAGTGCGATTAATTTCCAAATCGCATCCTTTTGAGCTCTTAATCGCATCCTTTTGAGCTCTTAATCGCATCCTTTTGAGCTCTTAATCGCATCCTTTTGAGCTCTTAATCGCATCTTTTTGAAAGAAGCAATCACAGAACATGTACAGAATTGTTATATTCAGCCAATCAGAGAAGAGAATGATTAGCATTATTTATGAATATTTAAAGATTTGCTGATAAATCGTTTATCTTATACCAGGAAAAACCAGATTGATTCACTTCTTCTTCTACATTAAATTGATTATTCTGCACTCTTTATTGTGTCTCTTGTGTATAATATAATAATTAATGATATAATATAATATGATTAAGTGGTAACTGAACTTCGTGTCGTGCAATTTTGGTCCAAATTGCACTCCACTCAGTTCAATACCATCATTAATGAGACAGGTCTTGTTGATATGGGATTAATTAGGCAGCTATATAATTAATAGGGAATGGGATTTCATGCTCCCCAATCAAGAAATAATTAGACTCGAAAAATTCCACTGACTGCCAAATTGGACTCAGCCAACGGMCTCATYCAATTTTGTCAGTCCTCGGAATTTTCCTCGTCCAATTATTTCTTAATTGGACAGCATGGAGTCCTATTACATATACTTATTGTTGTTGTTGTTGTTGTTGTTGTTGTTGTTGTTGTTATAATACGTCATGAGTAACCGTGGCCAACATGCCGTATGATTCGTTTCACTTATCTGTATCAAACGGTCAATTATATCAATCAAGGGTACAACTAAGGGCGACAACTTCCATACTTAGTGCCGCAAACTATTGAATAACAACACAGGCGCCTATTAAATTTCGTTTTTTAGAGGGTTTGGACTTTTGCTTTTCTTTTAGAATGGGGTTTGTTACAAAGATCCCTAAATTGACTGGAGAAAGGTATATGGGCGTTATTGGTTTTTAATCGCTCTCTTTTTAT